AGCCCGAACCCCCAACACCCACAGCCACTGCTGGAAGATGGTACCCTGAACCCTCAGCACCCACAGCCACAGGTGGACGGCAGCCCGAACCCCCAGCACATACAGATGCCAGTAGGGGACAGGCCACGCCCACCATCAGCAGCTCAGAGGCTCCTCACTGAGACAGACCCTCAGCTACAGGAGCCAGGGGGCAGCCCTGAGTCAGCACCACAATACGGAGCCCTCAGTAATCACAGCTCACTGGACGCAGGGCCACCACCAGGATTCAGGACCCCAGCAGCCGGAGCTGAGGGGCAGGGAACACACTCACCGGGATGTAGTTGGGCAGCCACTCGGCAATGCTGAGCTGGGCAATCTCAGAGGCTATCTTCTTCCTGTGCCCAGGCTTCGTCACCCCGATGGCTGTCAAGTCCTGCACACAGTCGGGCCATTACGCCCTCTCCTCAAGCCACAAGGTCCTCCCAGGTCCCTCCCTGCCACAGCCCCTACCTCGGGCGTCATGCGGCTGATGGTGGGCACGTCGTAGCCAGCCTGCAGGAAGTGGGCCGTGTAACCCTCCAGCTGGAACTCACTCAACCAGTTGTGGATGGCCTGGGCATCCTGGGGAAAGGGGATCAAGAGAGGGGGTGACAGGATCAGGAGCTGAGCCAAGGTCTTGCTTGGGGGAAGGACCAAAGCCACAGCCCAGCCCAGCTGGCTTTCCCCAGGAAAGCACCACCTATGTCCTCCACGGCACTGCCCAGAGGCCAGGCAGAGCAGTACTCAATCCACCTATGCTCCTGCTGATCCCTGGGCAGCCACCCCGAGGGCACACCTTCCCCTCCAGGAGCTGTTCCGGTCTCACATCCTGGGTGAAGGTCTGCTCTGCGGAGCGGAAGTTGGCCAGAGGGTGGTGGTTCAGGTTGTCTTAAACGAGGAGAGAAGGATGGAGTCAGAGATGACGAGAGACAGGAGTGCCAGACCTCAGCCTCTCTCCTGCACCCTCCCAGCCACCTGTGCCCTTCTTACCTGCCAAGGGCAGGGTGTGCAGTCTTGGCAGCACGTGGTCCTCCCCAGCAGAGGGCAGTGGCTAGAGAGGAGGAGGAGTGGACTCAGCGTTTGGTAACCTGGTAACAGGATGGTCCTTTCTGTGACCCACCTCCCCTCCCTTCTACCTGGGCATTCTCAATAAGGAGGCCAGCGCTGTGGCCATTGGTGCCCTCAGAGCTCTGCCCGCTGCCAGCACTGCGGATGCTGCCCACGCTGCCCTCACTGCCCACGCTGTTCCTGTCACCTGCTGTAGGGGGTAGAGGCAAAGGGTGAGAACCCTAGCTAGTCCTGCTGACAGCTGCTGGGCGGCCTGGTGAAGTCAGAGGCCCCCAGAGGTGCTGGCACTGCCCCGCAGAGCACATACCTGGGCTGTCTGGGCTGAGGCCCACTCGAGGAAGCTGGCCACAGGACAGGGGGTGCAGCGGGTCATCAGCGGGCTGTGGGGTCCTGGAGAAGCTAGGGCGCAGGGCTGCAGGCGCAGAGGGGAGGCGGGGCGCGGGCACAGCCACCCGCTTGCTGACCACCTCCACGATGCCCGGGGGGAAGTAGCCCACACGGTCGGTGCCTCTGTGGCTCTCATGGATGTGACCCTTCCAGCGGCCGTCAGGATGCTGCTCCAGCACCTGCAGCAGGCAAGGACGGTCACCCCCGGCGCCGGCACAGTGCCGGACGTGCACAGCCCACAGCCGGCACCGGGTCCCTCACCGTAATCACGTCCCCAGCGCGGACGTTGAGGGCAGTGGGATCATGCAGGTTCCAGAAGTCCTTCAGCGCACGTACTTTCAGGATCCCAGAGGCCTCTAAGAGAAGGGGGGAATGGATGGCTCCTGGGGCATCTTCCTGTCCCTCCTGGCCCCTGCCTGGTCATCTCTGTGACCAGCTCTCGGCCCCTCACCAGGCTCCCCTGGGCACTCACCCCGCAGGAGCTGTTTGATTTCCCGGCTGGCCTGGGAGGTGGTGAACTGGTTCACGATGTCCAGCGCCGTCTGGTTGTACGTGTTCCGGATGTTGACGTCCACCCCGCCCTGCGTGTACAGACGGGAGCACGCTCAGCTCTCTATCCGTCACCTGCCGCCTCCCATGACCCGGAAGCAGCCCTAGCTTCATTCTCAGCTCTCACAGGCGAGGACACTGAAGCCCAGGGGCAGGGCTCAGGTCTACAGCGTGGTCGGTCACTCAGTGTGACTGGAGCCAGGCCAGTCTGCTCTGGAACTGGTCCCCTCACCTAACCAGCCTTAGCACCACTCACAGGAGAGGGGGCTCCTCCTGCCACCTGTTGGCTGTGACAGCCTCCCTTCCCTGCCCCCTCCCCATGGCAGCCCTTCTCACACATGGAGAGGCCAGGAGGACACCGGAGGCCCCCAGGTGCCCCTCCGAGGCCGACACTTTACCTCCAGGAGGAGTCGCACCACCTCGGTCTTGCCGTACAGCGCTGCTTCGTGGAGGGCTGTGCCGGTCTTGGTCTGCCGATTGATCTCAATGCCAGCCCTCAGGAGCTGTCTGAGGTGCGGAGAGTGAGTCATGGGGGAGGGCAGGACCGGAAGCCCGGGCCAGGGCTGGGAGGCAGGAGCAAGGGTGAAGGGGTCAGCAAGGGAGGGCGCCCAGGGGTCAGTGGCGGTCCCACGGGAGGGTGAGGAGGAAATGGGGTGTTGGCGGGTACCTGATGACCTCTCGGTGGCCATTCTTGGCAGCCAGGTGCAGAGGTGTGGTGTAGTTGGGGTCGCATGGGTCCTTGGCCTCGCCCTCCAGCAGGGCTACGCATAAGTGGCTGTTGAGTAGCAGCTGGGTCACCTGTAGCAAATACCCCCCTGGTGAGGGCTTTTTCCCAGGCCCCCAGATGCCTGGGCCCCAGCATCCCCTGGGCCATGAGCCTCACCTTGAGCCTCCCAAACTCACAGGCCAGGTCCAGGGGCGTCTTCTTGGCCTTGTTGACCAGGCACGGGTTAGACTGGTGTTGCAGGAGCATCTCTGACTGGGGTGGGGGGACTGAGGTGAGCCTGGCTGTGTCCCCGACACCCCCTGGCTCCCAGTCCCCTGCCCTGAGGGGGGGCCCATACCACTTCGTAGTGTCCATACTGAGCGGCCAGGTGCAGCGGGATCTGCCCATCGAGTGAGGCAGCGTTGACGGCCGCCGAGGCCCGAAGCAGCAGCCTCACGGGCTCCAGCCGGCCCTGCCAGGCCGCGTAGTGCAGTGGGCGCATGCCTGTGGGGAGTGGGTGGGGACCGCGATGGGCAGGATGGACGGCGAGGGGTAGAAGAGTCCTATTACAGAGGGCTTTCACGGACAAACTGCGTGGGCTTTCTGAGCGTGCCAGCTGGCCTGAGGAACTCTGGAGGGACCTAGCTACGCGATGGTTCCATTAGTGCCTCCTAGGCCGTATTGTTGTTAAGTACCATCAAGTTGGATCAACTCATAATTGACCCTCCGTAAGGTTTTCAGAGGTAAACTGCATAGGAGGCAATTGCCTTTCTCCCATGGAGCAGCTGGTGGATTTGAACCATGTACCTTTATGTTTTTTTAAGAGAAGAATATTGAGTGTACTATGGACTGCTAAGAAAGCAATGAGATTCATCCTGGAGAGGGTTAAACTGGGCTGTTCCTTGGAGGCAAGGATTCTGGAGGTTCATCTGACATACTTTGGACATGTTGTGAGGAGAGAGACCGGTCCTTGGAGAGGGACATCATGCTTGGGAGGGTGGAGGGACGGCGCAGGAGGGGAAGACCCTCTATGAGGTGGATTGATTCAGT